ACCATCCTCACCATTAACGCCACGCCCATTACCATCCTCACCATTAACACCACGCCCATTACCGTCCTCACCATTAACGCCACGCCCATTACCGTCCTCACCATTAACGCCACGCCCATTACCATCCTCCATTAACGCCAGCCCACCACCATCCTCACCATTAACGCCACGCCCATTACCGTCCTCACCATTAACGCCACGCCCATTACCGTCCTCACCATTAACGCCACGCCCATTACCGTCCTCACCATTAACGCCACGCCCCATTACCATCCTCACCATTAACGCCACGCCCATTACCATCCTCACCATTACCACGCCCATTACCGTCCTCCATTAACGCCACATCCATTACCATCCTCACCATTAACGCCACGCCATTACCATCCTCACCATTACCACCATCCTCCATTAACGCCACGCCCATTACCTCACCATTAACATTACGCCCATTACCGTCCTCACCATTAACGCCACGCCCGCCATCCTCATTAACGCCACGCCCATTACCGTCCTCACCATAACGCCACGCCCATTACCATCCTCACCATTAACCCACGCCCATTACCGTCCTCACCATTAACACCACGCCCATTACCGTCTCACCATTAACGCCACGCCCATTTCCTCACCATTAACGCCACGCCCATTTCCGTCCTCACCATTAACGCCACGCCCATTACCACGCACCATTACCCACGCCCATTACCGTCTCACCATTAACGCCACGCCATTACCGTCCTCACCATTAACACCACGCCCATTACCGTCCTCACATTAACGCCACTCCATTACCGTCCTCACCATTAACGCCACGCCCCCACCTCACCATTAACGCCACGCCCAACCATCCTCACCATTAACGCCACGCCCATTACCGTCCTCACCATAACGCCACGCCCATTACGTCCTCACCATTAACGCACGCCATTACCGTCCTCACCATTAAACGCCACGCCCATTACCATCCTCACCATTAACGCACGTTCCGCCATTAACGCCACGCCCATTACCCGTCCTCACCAATTAACGCCACGCCCAATACCATCCTCACAACGCCACGCCCATTACCGTCCTCACCATCACCATTACCATCCTCACCATTAACGCCACGCCCATTACCGTCCTCACCATTAACAACCATTACGCCCACCAAACGCCACGCCATTACCATCCTCACCATTACGCCACCCTCACCATTAACGCCACGCCTCATTACCATCCTCACCATTAACGCCACGCCATTACCATCCTCACCATAACGCCACGCCCAATACCGTCCTCACCACTAACGTCACGCCCAATACGCCCACCATTAACGCCACGCCCATTACCGTCCTCAATACCATCCTCACCATTAAACAGCCACGCCCATTACCGTCCTCACCATTAACGCCACCCCATTACCCGTTACCGTCCTCACCATTAACTCCATTCACCATTACGCCCGTCCTCACCATTAACGCCACGCCCATTACCGTCCTCACCATTAACGCCACGCCCATTACCGTCCTCACCATTAACGCCACGCCCCCATCCTCACCATTAACGCCACGCCCATTACCTCCTCACCATAACGCCACGCCCATTACCACCTCACCATTAACGCCCACGCCCATTACCGTCCCTCACCATTAACACCACGCCCATTACCGTCCTCACCATTAACGCCACGCCCATTACCATCCTCACCATTAACGCCACCCCACCGTCCTCACCATTACGCCCATTTCACCATCCTCATCCCACATTTACCGTCCTCACCATTAACGCCTCACCATTAACGCCACGCCCATTACGTCCTCACGCCCAATACCATCCTCACCATAACGCCACGCCCATTACCGTCCTCACCATTAACGCCACGCCCATTACCGTCCTCACCATTAACGCCACGCCCATTACCGTCCTACCATTAACGCCACGCCCACCATCCTCACCAGTAACGCCACGCCCATTACCGTCCTCACCCCAATTACCATCCCACCATTAACGGTCCTCACCAATTAACGCCACGCCCATTACCATCCTCACCATTAACCGCCACGCCCATTACCGTCCTCACCATTAACGCCACGCCCATTACCATCACCTCACCATTAACGCCACGCCCATTACCGTCCTCACCCACCAAAACGCACCCATTACGTCCTCCATAACGCCACGCCATTACCTCCCCATTAACCGCCACGCCCCCATCCCCAACGCCACGCCCAATACCATCCTCACCATTAACGCCACGCCAACCGTCCTCACTATTACCACGCCCATTACCCGTCCTCACTACCACGCCCATACCCTCCATTAACGCCACGCCCATACCGTCCATTAACGCCACGCCCATTACCGTCCCACCATTGCCCATACTCCTCACCATTAACACCACGCCCATATAACCGTCCTCACCATCCTCACCATTAACGCACCCATTACCAGTCCCACCACTTAACGCCACGCCCATTACCGCCTCACCATAACGCCACGCCCATTACCGTCTCAACCACATAACAGCCACATTACATTCCTCACAAACGCCACGGCCCATTACCATCCTCACCCAGACCCATTACCCACCATACCATCCTCACCATTAACGCCACGCCCACCTCCCACACACTACGTCGATTAAACGCCAGCGCCATACCGTCCTCACCGTAAGCCACCCCATACCGTCCTCACCACTAACGCCACCCATACCGTTCACCATTAACGCCACGCCCAATACCATCCTCAACCATTAACGCACGCCCAACCGTCCTAATAACGCCACCATTACCAACGTAACGGCACCCCATTACCGCCCAGCCAAATTAACAAGCCAGCCATTAACCGGTCCTCACCATTAAAGCCACGCAATACGTCCTCACCATTAACGCCACGTACCCATTACCACCTATACCATTGAAGCCACGCCCGATTACCATCCTCACCATTAACGCCACACGCCCAAACGTCCTCACCATAAACCCACGCCCATAAACGCCATCCTCACCATTAACGCGCACGCCATTACCGTCCTCACCACTAACGCCACGCCCCAATACCGTCCTCACCATTAACGCCACGCCCATACCGTCCTCACCATAACACCAGCCCATCTAACCGGACCATAACGTCCTCGCCACCCCATTACCGGTCCTCACCACTAACGCCACGCCCAATACCGGCGCCACTCCATTATTAACAGCCACGCCCATTACCCGTCACTCACCATTAACACCACGCCCATATACCGTCCTCAACATAACGCACGCCATACCAACCTGTAACGCCACGCCCAATACCATCCTCACGCATAACGCCACGCCCATTCCTTCACCATTAACACCACCCCTTACCGTCCTCACCATTAAACCACGCCCATTACCGTCGCTCACCATTAACGCCACGACCATTACCATCCTCAGACACTAACTGCCAGCCCATACCAACATCACTTGCCACGCCATACCGTCTCCACCAGTTAAACGCCACGCCCATTACAGCCTCACCATTAAGCCACGCCCATTCACCGTCCTCACCATTCGCCCACATTACCATCCTCAACCATTAACGCCACGCCCATACCATCCTCACACAATAACAGCCACGCCCATTACCAGTCCTCACCATTAACGCCACGCCCAGTACCGTCCTCACCATTAACGCCACGCACCCAATTCACCATTAACGCGACGCCCATTACCGTCACCATTAACACCACCCCATTACCATCCAGTACGCCACCCATTACATTAACGCCACGCCCATTACCGTCCTCACCATTAACGCCACGCCCAATTACCGGCCTCACCATTAACGCCAACGCCGCATTACCGCCTCTACCGATTAACACCACCCATTACCATCCTCACCAACCCCGCCACGCCATTAACGCCACGCCCTATTACCTCCCTACCATAAGCCCACGCCCATACCGCCTCATATAACGCCACGCCCCATTACCGTCCTCACCATTTAACGCCACGGCCCATTACGTCCTCACCATTAACGCCACGCCCATTTACCGTCCTCACCCATTAACGCCAACGCGCCATTACCAGTCCTCACCATAACAGCCCGCCCTTACCGCCCATCTAACGCCACGCCGCATTACCACTTCACATTAACGCCACGACCCATTCATCCACTCACGCAGAACTCGCCACCCCCATTACCGTCCTCACCATTAACAGCCACGCCCATATTACAGCTCACTCATGAACCATACGTCCCCATATCCGTCCTCCCACCATTAAACGCCCACGGCCATTACCGTCCTCACCTTAACGCCCGCCATACCTCCTCACCATTAACGCCACGCCCATTACCGTCCTCACCATAACGACCGCACCAATACGCATTACCATAACGCCACGCCCATTAACCAGCCACGCCCATTACCGTCCTCACCATTAACAAGCCAAAGCCGCATTACCGTCCTCACCATTAACGCCACGCGCATATCACCATACGCATTATCGCCACGGCCCATTGACCAATCCCTCACCCATAACGCCACGCCCATTACCGTCCTCATATTAACGCCACGCCCCATTACCCGTCCTCACCATTAACGCACGCCCCATTATCGTCCTCACCATTAACGCCACGCCCAATTACCATCCTCACCATTAACACCACGGCCCATTACCGTCCTCACCATATAACGCCCACGCCCATATACCATCCTCACCATAACAAGCCCAACGTCCCAATATCCATCCTCCACCATTAACCAGACCACCCCTACCAGTCGCTAATGATTAAACGCCACGTCCCATTACCGGTCCTCAGCATTAACAAGGCCTACGTCCCATTCCCGTCCGCACATTAACGCAACCGCCCATTACGTCCTCAACATTACGCCACGCCATACCAATCCTCCACCAGTAACGCCACGCCATTCCGTCCTCACCATTAACACCACGCCATTACCTGCCCACCATTAACGCCACGCCATTACCCATCCTCACCATTACACAGCCACGCCATTATCCATCCCTCACGCAGTAACGCCACGCCCAAGCCATCATGCACCAATACCGCACGGCCCATTACCGTCCTCATAACACTAACGCCACGCCCATTACGTCCCTACTATAACGCCACGCCTATACCGTCCTCAACCATAACGAGGGCCACGCCCATTACCGCCTCACTATTACGCCACGCCCATGTACCGTACTTCACCATAAACTACCACGCCCATTACCGTCCTCACATTAACACCACGCCATACCGTCCACACCATTAACGCCAACCCCAATAACCGTCCTCCACGCATAACAGCCACGCCCATTACCGTCCTCACATAACGCCACGCAATTACCGTCCTCAACATTAACGGCCACGGCCGATTAACGTGACTTACGAAGCTCTGTATGAAAAACTGTTAACACTAAAAGAACATACATGTGTCTTTTTTAGCTAAACTTTATCCGGTTGCATACAACATATTCTGGAAAGCTGTTCTTCTATTTTTGTTAATAAATTCTTATTACCGTCATTACCACTAACGCCACACCCATTACCATCCTTACCATTAACGCCACGCCCATGATCACCATATTCCTTACCAGCTCGACTATGATGGGCGAGAGGAGGGCGGCCACATAGCCCATGATGTGCACCGCAGCAACTCCCTGGGCGCGCACCACGGTAGGCAGGAGCTCGGCCGCATACTGGAGTCCTATGTTGTACGATATGTTGACGCAGAATCGCCCCATGACGGCTAGGATTGCGATGCCCAAGGGGTTATCTGGGAGAGTGGTTGGGTGGGGTTAGGCTGAGCTGGGGTTGAATTTGGGTCTCGGTTAAGTTGGGGTTGACTTTTGGGCCTGGACTGAATATGGGTTGAATTGGGGCCTGGATTAAATTTGGGTTGAATTTGGTCCTGGAGTATATATGGCTTAAATTTGGACCTGGATGAAATATGGGTTGAATTTTGGGCCTTTGCTAAATATGGGTTGAATTTGGGCCTGGTTTGGGTTGGGTTGGTTGTGTTGAATTTAGGTTGACAGTGGATTGGGATGAAGTTGGGTCTGGGTTGTGTATGGGATGAATTCGTGTTGGTTTTCGGTTTGAGGCTTGGTTGAGTTTCGAGTTGGGTTAGGTTGGGTAGAATGAATTTATAGAGAATTTGTTTTGTGTTGGATTGGCTTTATCTTGGCTTTGGATCTCGATAAACTGGATCCAGCCTGGATTTGGGTTGAATCTTGGCTGGGTTTGCGTTGGGTTGAGTTCGGCTAGATTTTGGTTGGGTCGAGTTGGGATAGCTTGTATTATTTTGGTTAAGTTGAATTAGTTGGGATTTGGTCTATGCTCGTATTGCCTCGCGTGTGAGTTGAATCCTTGGCTGAGCTGGATTAGCCTGACTTGGGTATGGATTTGAACGGATTAAGGAGCGGTTCAACTGGTCTTTTGCTCCTGACTTGGGCCCGAGTACCCAGCCAGACATTGTATTTCAACTGCGAAAAGCACTGCCGTAATAGACCGCATATGCCTCTCGCTGGAAAAACCGCGTTTTGTATTTATCGTTTGAGCAACATGGAGCACAAGGACCTATACCCCGTTTCACGGCGTATATTGTTTTGAAAGAAGCACAGAAGCTGATTTACAAATTCAAAATTATTAACGCTAGTCTGACGGGCCCGTCCACGTGTGTAGATCCTACTTCAAATGAGCAGTTCTTGTTTATTTGTTTTTGGTAAAAAAAACGAATTTTGCAATTATTAGCTCTAAACGTTTTATATAAAATCTCTAATATAACTTTAGTTAACTATAGATACTAATAATTCGTTTAAGCGAATTACAGACAATAGGTTGAAGAGGCACCATGGAACGCCCGGGGCTGCCCGAGGAAGAACACGTTCTCGTCCGTTCTATCGCCCAGATTTCGCACCAAAGTGACCGATTCGGCGCAGGTGGCCGCGCTTACGGCCAGACACGTGTACACAAAACCAGCTAAACCGCGCCTTTAGGTCTGGGTTGAATCGGGTTGCCTTATGGTTGGGCTTCAGTTGAATCAAGATTGCTAACCCAATCATTTTGTTCCAGTTTACAATGAACACGAAATCGCACAGAATACAGCGTATGTCTGCGTATGTGTTTGTGCATGTGTTTGTGAGTGAGTGAGTGACTGGGCGAGTGAGTGAGTGAGTGACTGGGCGAGTGAGTGAGTGAGTGACTGGGCGAGTGAGTGACTGACTGGACGAGTGAGTGAGTGAGTGACTGGGCGAGTGAGTGAGTGACTGGGCGAGTGAGTGAGTGACTGGACGAGTAAGTGAGTGAGTGACTGAATTGTATGAATATGAATGAGTTTGTAAGTAACTGAACGAGTGATTAATTCAGTGAACTGTTAAGCAAATGAATGATGGAGTGCGTGAGTGACTGAAAGTGTGAGTGCATGTGTGACCCTGTGACTGTGTGCGTGCGTGGCCTGAACATGAGGACCAACTCACCCGCAACGAGCAGAGTGAGAACGCTGAGGACCCCCGAGAGTCCCAGCGTTCCGAAGGC